TCCTACAAAGCATCCCTGAAGAACTTTGAAACTCTTGATTGATTATTTAAGCATTGTAGGACATAGTAGAGAAGAAAAAGACAACAAAATCAAGGAGGGGAAACTAGAAATTATGTTAAATTTTAGTTTAACTGTGTGTGCATGTGGATTATATTACGATTATTATTATTATTATTATTATTATTATTATTATTGTAGTTTTTATTTTATGGGCTAATGTGTAAGTGTAACTCCTTCAGTTTAGAGTCGAATCATTTTCATGACTTCAATCAATATTCGTTATGCATGCAGTGTTACCCAAAAAAAATGCCTTTCTGATTTTAACAGAATGTGTATGTATAATGGATTGTCACTTCATACTTGTATTTAATTATAAATTTTATTTCTCGAACATGTTACCTCCAGAAGAAAATAGCTGTTGTTTAGAAAGAAAAAAAATTATAACTTTTAAAGGTTAAGGATATTTGCAGTTAATTTTTAACGCAGATACAATGGTGTGAAAATGAAATAAAATGTAAAATTAATCTTCTTCTTTGGTGTGAATATGAAATAAAATCTTCTTCATCGGGTTCTTCATTACGATCTCATTCTCATTGCTATTGCTATTGCTTGGTTCTGCCATTACGTCCCTCAGACTCGTGTAAGTATATGACACCCTTTGCATCTCTGTTTCAGCTTTTCCACAATTATAATTATCATTTCAGTTTTCTGCTAATTCACCTTTCTTTCGTCCTCTAATCTCGCAAAAACCTTTCATTTTGCCACAAAGCACTATCAAATTTAGATCCCTTTAGTATTTCTTCATTATTGGTTTATGTGCTGTGTATAACGTACAAATGTATTGTTTCATGGTACGTTTTTCCTGCATCAAAATAGCACCTATGCCAATTCTGGAGGCATCACGTTCAACCTCAAAAGTCTTATCAAAACATGGCAAAATAAGAAAAGGAGCAGAACACAAATGAACCTTCAAAGTTTTAAAAGCAAGATCTTGTTCCTTTCCCCATTTAAACCCAACATCCTTTTTAATGACCTCAGTCAAAGGACCAGCAATGGTAGAGAAGTTCTTCACAAATGTTCTATAAAACCTCGCTAAGCCATGAAAACCCCTCACCTCAAACATTCTTAGGGGTTGGCCATTCTTGGATAGCCTTCACCTTCTCCTCATCAACCTCAATAGCATGTGCACACACAACAAAACCACGAAATACAAATTTAACAACGCAAAATGTGCACTTCTTAAGGTTGACATACAATTTCTCTTCCTTAAGAACTTCTAGAACAGCCTTAACATGCAATATGTGATAACCCAAATACTTGCCATAAATCAAGCATTAGTTAAACCCAAAGGTATAACCAACCATGAATATTAACCATATTTTATTTTGAATGCAATTTTTCACTTATCCCCCGATTTCATTCTAATTTGATGATATCCTTTTTAAATCGATTTTAGTGATATACATGAATCATGCAACTCATCAAGCATGGCATCTAACCTGGGGATAGGGTGGTGATACTTTACTGTGATCTTGTTGATTGCATGACAATCCACACATATCCTCCAAGTTCTGTCTTTCTTTGGAACCAACAAAATGGAAACAACGCATCGACTCATGCTTTCCCTCACATACCCTTTTGCAAGAAGCTCATCCACTAGCCTTTGTAGCTCCTTTGTCTCCTTAGGATTATTTCTATATGCTGGCCGATTGGGAATTCTAGCTCCAAGCACAAAATCAGTTTGGTGCCCTTTCCCTCTCAATGGTGTCAAACCACTTGGAACTTCAGTCCAAGCATAGGTTGCTGAGAAAAACAACCGTTCTTGATCTCTGTAACACCCTAGCTAGCTACTTATGCTTAAGTCTTAAGTAATGCTCACTAGTTATTACTTTTAGGCTGAGTCACTTTTAGACTTTGTTTTAAAAAATTCTTAGTCTTGAAACTATGGACCAACTTAAACTTTTATTGATTTAAAACCTTATTGATTTGAAACTCATGAGCCATACTCGTAGCGGAAGTTTAGGGCTTATTTATTTTTTTTAATGTTTTTTAAATATCTAATTTAAAATAATTCAAAAATTAAACTATTTTCTTGTAATAGGATTTTTTTTCACGTCATCACTAATTTCGGTGAACATCTTGAGCATGTGAGGTCTATTTGACTTGCATTGAAAAAAGAGAGGATGTATGGTTCCTTTTGCACTCAAAAAGAACTTTCTGGGATTCACTGTTAGTTCTAGAGAGATAAAAGTGTATGAAGAAAAAGTCAGAAGCAACTGAGGAATGGCCTACACACTAGGAGTTTGAGTGATGTGATGGGCTATCTAGTTTTTATAGGAAAACACAAAAGGCATAATAAAAACTAAACAACTAAATTAGAGTGAAGAGAAAAATAGATGAGAGATGAATGTCAGGGGTTGATTTCGTCAAAGTTCCCTGGAACTGTATTGCCTAATTGATAAAATCCTTTCCAGATAATATAATTTCCGAACGAATTACTAATTACTAATAGTTATAGCATAATGCCTCACTACTAAAACCCTTTTAGGATAAACCATAGTCAATCTCTTGCACTATTTTAAATCTATCCTAAGGATGAAGAACAAGAATTCATAATGCGGCTTAAGCACTTGTATCTCTAGCTGCGTTAACATATGTTAAACTCTAGTTTAGCTTATTTTATAAAGTGATACATCAATGGATAGCCCTTTCCTTACTCTGAGTACCTACCGCATACACATCTATTCTTTCTCTTCCTTCATCTTCATTCCAATTTCATGCATCTCCTGATTTGATATACCTGCCTTGTGCCGTACATTCTCCCATTACACTGCCTCTTTATAGGCACTTATCATTAACATTTTTAAAGATAGTAATTAATGATATAACGAAAAAAGTTTTAAATTTTGTATTAAATATTTTAATTTAATATCTCAATTTCAAATTAATGATTAAAATAATTTTACTAAACATTGTGAAATATTTTTTATAATAATAATTATTATGTAACATAAAATTTTGTAGACCTGTAACGTGTTTGAAATCACATTTTAAATATTGTAAATTTTGCATTAGATTAACATATTTTCAAAAAAGCACTTAATATATTTATTCAAAACTCTTAAGTTAATCATCAAATTAATAAAATTTGTTTATAAAAAAATTATTAAATAAAATAAATTATTTTCTCTTGAAATAAATAATTTCATCTCTAAAGTATAATCTTATACTTTTTTATTTATTTAAAGATATATTTATCATTTATAACCCTATTTAAAAATTTTAATTATAAATATACTTTTAAATAAATTTTTAAATAGTGTAAAAAGGTTTGACCCAGAATCCAAATTGATTCTACACATGGCGCGAACAATGAGGAACAGAAGTACAAATATTGGACTTTGTTGGAACAAACGAAAATTGTAAAATAAAATTTGGGAAAGATTATTGGAAAGATATGATTAGCCTTAATTTCAATATAAATTAAGTGCAATACAAATTGAATCTATATTTTTTAAGTTAAGTGTACTATATTTTTTTTTTCATTGACTTGTGATGATGTGATTGCCCTTATTGTATATATACAAAGCATTATAGATTATCTAAGGATAGGAATAACTAATTTTTGACATATGATCTTCCTCTTTGGTAAGAGAGACAAGTTAAGTTTCCATTGTACATGTGATCTTATTGATTTGCTGTGGCCTGCAATTCCATTCTAAGTTGAACCCTTCATTCTCCGTACAGCCATATCCTGCTCTCATTTCATGTCTCATATTTTAATATCTGTTTTTGGTTTATTATTATTTAACAAATAATGATAATAATAAAAATAATAAAATAATTTTTAGTACACAGTTTATTTTTTAAACTCATAAAACACTTACACTTCCTTTTTTATCTAACGAGTATTAAATATAATTTTATATTTTTAAATGAAATCGAGTCAATATCAGTATGTTATGAAGAATATTTTAGATTTTTTCTTTTATATGAATTTATCTAAAAGGTCAATGTTATATATATATATATATATACACATAACATTGTTATGCTATTGATTGGTTTCTATGAAGTCATGCGCTGACAAATCTGCACACATGAATAACTTTGTTAAAATGTGTAGATACTGAGAATTATGTAGCCAATGTCAGCTGAAATGGAGTCCAGTGATGCTGAATACGAGGCGCTGGGAGAAGGTTCGAGTGCAGAGTTAGAAAAGATTCAGAAAGTTTCAATTATAACTCTAATTTTGTTGATCTTTTATTCGGTCTCAGGAGGACCTTTTGGTGTGGAAGATACTGTCAGGGCAGCTGGTCCATTGTTGGCTCTGCTTGGTTTCATGGTTTTCCCATTCACATGGACCTGAGGCGTTGATAACTGCTGAAATGGGCACTATGTTTCCAGAGAACGGGGGCTATGTGGTTTGAGTTTCATCTGCGTTGGGTCCTTACTGGGGTTTGCAACTTGGTTGGATGAAATGGATTAGGGGAATCATTGACAATGCTTTGTATCCAGTTTTATTTTTAGATTACCTAAAGTCAGCTATCCCACTTTAGGAGGTAGTTTTCCAAGGATAATAACAGTGCTAGTTTTAGTTTTAGCTCTCACTTACATCAACTATAGGGGCTTAACCATAGTGGGCTGGGATGCAGTATTGTTGGGAATTTTTTCATTGCTTCCTTTCATGGTTATGGGAATTGTAGCAATTACCAGAATAAAGCCAACGAGGTGGTTTTATAGTTGATATGAACAATATGACTGGGACTCAGTGAGTACCCTTGCAGGAGAGGTGGATAAGCCTGGTATAACCTGTTTTTCAATTATACAATTTGTGACAACAAGTACAAAGGATAATTAGTTCTCTTATTTGTTAGACTTGACTCTCAATCATAATATTTATTGACAAAAAAAAAAAATAGAAAGAAAGACAGAAACAACTAGGATTTGTGGGCTTAGCTCTGGGGGAAGTGGAAATGATGGGTCCTATATAAGATTCTCTCTATTCCCTGGTTACAAACTTAACCTAAATGTCTAAACTGGTGGCCGGTGAGGCACATGCAAGACACACAATAAAACTGAGGGTTGCTAACTACAGGTGAATATATTAATAATTAGGTTGTCTGTTGTTTAAGCCCTTATGAAAAATGCTACAACTTGTCGAAGAGGACCAGGTCATTGAATATGCCGAAAATTCCACGTGGCAAACATCCAAATTGAAGAAGGATCAGAAACAACGAAATGAAGATACCTTGACAACACAAGAACGTGGCAATTCTAATAATATCATAACAGACCGGACATCCCAACACTTCTTGTGCAAAGGCATATATCGCCGCTCTTGGCTTTTGTGTGAAACAAACAAGTGAATATATAAGAAGAATTTCTGGTTCTCTCTATCACTTTGGCTCTTGGATGGAAGATTTTTACCTAAAACAACGTTGTGCCTGATCAACAGGAATAAACATAGAAGAAGAAGAAGAAAACATGGGTAGCTTGAAAATATCACCGTCAACAAGCACTAGCAGCCCTAAGAAAAACTCAAGAACACTTCATGACCTGTTTGTGCAGGAAAATCCTCATTTTGCGATCCCATGTTCTCCTGCTTCAGGAAATGAAGAACTTCTATCTGCTATATCTTACTGCACCTTTGTGTTCACCTTCACTGATCCTTCAGAATCTCCTGCACAAAGAGACTCCAAGAGGTGCCATCTATCAAGGCTCATCTCTATATTGAAGTCCTCCAAGAAGCCAGTGCATGGCAAAGTTTTGGAGCCTCTTGTGATCATGATCTCAGCCAATCTATTTAGGCCACTCCCTCCACCTGCTAACCCTTCTGCCATCTCAGACTTGGCTGAAGAAGAAGACCCCATCTCCACATTTTCACCCCTTTGGTCACATCTCCAAATAGTTTATGAAATCCTTCTCAGGCTTGTTAACTGCCAAGAGCATAACATACTGAGAGAGTACATGGATCATTCTTTTCTCCGCAATCTCCTAGCACTATTCCACTCTGAAGATCCAAGGGAACGTGAGAGTTTGAAAAATGTGTACCACAAGATATATTCTAAGTTCATCTCTGACCGTTCCTTCATGAGGAAAATAATGACCGATGTGCTCTTGAATTATGTGTTTGAGACAGAGAAGCATCCTGGTGTTGGGGACTTGCTTGAGATATGGGGAACCATAATCAATGGCTTTACCGTGCCACTCAAGGAAGAGCACAAGCTTTTCCTAATGAGAGTGCTTATTCCTCTGCACAAGACAAAAGGGATGCTAGTTTACCATAGACAACTGGCTTATTGCGTATCACAGTTTGTGCAGAAGGAACCTATGCTTGGAGGTGTTGTTGTTAGAGGAATTTTGAAGTACTGGCCTGTCACAAACTGTCAAAAAGAAATCTTGCTAATTGGGGAGTTGGAGGATCTGGTGGAGAATATTGACCCTGACCAGTACCGTAAGTTGTCCTTACCCTTGTGTACGCAGATTACAAAATGCATAAACAGTTGGAATTCCCAGGTAAATCTCTTATTATTAATGTCCATAATTTATTCTACTGAAATTGTTATATACTCATGATTTGTGCTCTCTGTTCAATAGCAAACTATTTTATTAGTTAGTTAAGCCAATTTGTTATCTTCTGACAACAACATGATCAAAATAAGGCTACATTATGGAAGGTTTTCTTGGTACTTGCATGCTCAAGAACAAGATTGCTTGGCTGTATATACCCTCATGTTTTTCTTAGCCCCTTGTCACTTGTCAGTTTTCTGAATTTTAGATTTGATAAACAGATTTTATTTTGAGGGCATATAAATTTGGTGTAGGTAGCTGAGCGTGCACTCTACGTATGGAACAATGAGCAGTTCGTGAAAATGGCATTAATAGGAACTGTGGAAGTATTTACTGTGATTGTAGAAGGGATGGAAAAGAACCTGAAGCGGCATTGGAGCAAAAATGTAAGGCAACTAACAGAAAGTGTGAAGGTGATGCTGGCAGAAATGGATCCAGATCTATATTCAAAGGGTGTCATGGACATGGAAACCAAAGAATCAATGGCAAATCAAGAAGATATGAAGAGAAAAAAGAGATGGGAAATAATAGAATTGGAAGCTGCCAAGAATCAGTTTTTCAATCCACAACGATATATACGTGTCTCCCACTGAACATTATTAATGTATGCAACTTTGTGCTGGCAATACCAACCTTTCTCAAATACAACAATAATTGCAAGGTCGTTATTGTTTATAAACAAAGACAAATATAAACCCATCAAACCAGCAATTGACATTTGTTCGTCATACTCACAACAGAAGACAAATTGATAACAAGCAAATGAATGAACAAAATACAAAGAAACAGACATAAAACACCCACATGAACAACTGCCAAGTATGTATTACAAGACCACATTCAGAACCAATTGAGCAAGTTGATAGTTAGAAAGATGTTTAGTTTCTTGCTTCTGATGAGCCGCAAGCGATTTTTTTTCGAATGAATTTTAAATATACTCATTCAAAATGATTCCACAATTAATATTAGCATAACATTATAACATTTTTGTATTATATCACCTATCTAAAATTATATTATAAGCATCCCCTCTTATTAATTTCTAACTTCTAAAATTTTACAAAGTATGGATTTGATCGAAATGTTGAATTAGCCCAACCTAAAAAAGGTAATTAGTCGAGCCATTACAACTGAAAATTGAGCCTTAAAAAATAACCTCGTCAAAATATCAGACTGCATTTGCATTAGGCAATATCCATCTCATGAACATCCAAATATCTACTTCCACTGCTAATCAAATAAAATTATATAAATATTTTTAATCCACGGTTAATATAAATCTATTATATTACCATACAATTTTGTTTTATCACATAAATATTTTATATGAACTACATATACGACACCCACGGATATAAATTTAGACCTACGTTAAATTAAAATTAATCTCATAATTATAGCAACTATAAATATTAACTAGAAATGGTAAAATTATCTCTATCCGTAAACATGCAGATGTTTGATTAAATGAGCTTTTTTCTACCTTATGGTGTTCATATCCGTGGATACCTATATACATAAAATTGTTAAAATATTCTTATATATAAAAAACAAACATGATTTTAATTTTACTATTTTATGGTTCTTTTGGTATATGCTTAAACTTGATATATGAACAGTAAAGATCTATTATCTGAGGTGAGTATATTTGTACAATTATTAACGGGCATCGACAGCATAACCCGTAAGAAAAAATGTCAACAATTTTCCCTTCTGGCCAAAGTAGAAAAATAGTAAACGAAATATACATATGTTCAAATATTTATTGTTTCAATCAAAATTCAAATGATGCGCTGCCTAAGGCAACACATACATAGCTGAAATCGGTCTTCAATTAAGTTACAACGTACAAATAATTAAACTAAATACGTAGGAAACTACAAGTCAGATCATACTCCCCCCAACTCGCCCCTGCTCCTTTCTTTTTCTCCCGCCTCTCTCTCTCTCTGGTGGTACAAAACTGTGTAACCAAGACAACCTATCAACTCAAAAAATCTAGATATATTGGAAAACTGTGACGATGAACACAAGGGTCGAATAAAATTCCTAGCCTTTAATTAAGGCTTTAACTATAAAGACAACAAAGAATCAAGCATTTTCAAAGGTTGAAAGTCATTCCCCTGTACATTTCTCATGGGAAACTCCATCAAATGAGATTTTGAAGGCTTGAGGAACTGCCTGCAATCATCAAGCTCAAACGAATTCTACAAGTACTGATACCTCTGACTGAAAACCGAGACTAGGCACCTGCTTAATATGAATGGTGACTCCAATATTGCTTGATAACACACAAAATGACCAAGGCCAATGCAGATACAAAGCTCACACAATCAAATTATACTTGATATTTTGAAAGCTTTTCTTTTATTGGAGGCTCCAAAGCAGACATACATTGGTCCCATGCTCCATTGCGCAGCATCTATAGCATAAATATGGAGTTTATAGTTTCAACTTCACAATGTAAGAAATTCATCTACGACTTGCACATAATTACCAAGGCAGATGTGTGCCCGAGAGAGAAGCAACACTAACCTGTTTGTACCCATGCAATATCTGGCAGACTTCATTGTGTAAATCTTCACTCCTTATTTCCTGTAGACATCAATAAAAAGAAGTTATATTACAGAAACCTTAAAACATTTCTACAACAACAATGATGATGGTAAACATACATGCCAACTTGCAATGGCTTTGCACATGTATACAAGCGAACTTAGAGCTCCAGATGGATTAACTTTGACCTGAAAACAAATGTAAAACACCAATTACTTGAGCAATCTACACAAAAAAAGTTTACTGTGTGAATAGGAGCATACCATAGCACATAGACCTCTAAAAGCATCCTCTTTCTCAACATCATCTCGTATCCTGCCACAAATCATACAAGAGAAATCAATACACAAGATAACCTGCAATGAAACAGTGCACATCTGAAGTCATAGTGAATATGTTTAGATATTGGTTTACTTCCCTTTATATGTCACTGTGCTTGAATTCCAAATATATATATAAATATAGATAGATAGATAGATAGACACAAGATTGCAGGCACACTTGACCAGTTTACAAATGAAAACTAAACAAATTGGATGTTTGTGACAAACAAGTTAATAAATATGTAAAGTAAGAGGGACTTTATAGTATAAATTTTTTCACAGGTATTATCTAAGATCTTCATCATAATACAGTGGACTTTCATCTCCAATGAGACAGCTTTGAACACAATCTGATGTTTTTGTGTGATCAATACCATTTACATTCTTGGGGAGATATCCCAACCGCTAAAATCTTAAGTGTTATTATTAAGATATCAATCAAATGCAGATCAATGTATCAATTTCATGGTAGAGAAGATTACCCGATCCATAAATATTGCAATATATTACACTGTTTAATGAAATTATGTTCAACATGACCTAAAGGTAAGTATCAACGAAAGAAAAACACCCACCTTCAATCCCAGCTACCCCATTCATAAACAATCCCAAGGGAAAAGCATTGTAACCAATTTCTCAACTTATGTTGAATACACTTGGCATTGAATTTTCAAACCCCCGCCCCCCCTTTTCCTAAACATATGGGGTAAATAAAACACGAACTACTTTCATTTAATATGAAAGGGTAAACAAGAAATTAGCCACAAAAGTCTATATATATTAGTAATTTATTGACAAAACTTATTCATGATGTGAACCCGTCAAAGAAGCTTTGAATTTCAAAACATTTTTATTGAAGTGACTTAAGGAAACAGGATTTATTTGTTAGGTGCTCATTGGTGCAAGTCATGACTAAAGGAAGCACAAAGTGGTACAATAACTTACATTGACAAAGCACTGCACCAAGATTGCATAAAATGCTCCATATGTGGTGATACAAGTTCTGGACAGACCCACGCAAGCCTACCCAGTGTTATTGCACTATTTTCTATAAGTGACTTGTTGAGTCCCTATAACCAGCAAGAAGATCAGCAACTAAGCATGACCAAAATAATAATTGAAGTGTGATAAGACAATGACCTCAGCATGCTGAAGAATTGGGACCAGGCATGAAATTACGGTTAAAACAATGGGAGAAATTTCTTGACGAACCTGAAATTCAAAATTTGTAGTTTACGATAACAAATTTTATATTAAAATGAATATAATGTGATGTGGAATGGACAACATCAGAAGCCATTCACACTCATAACAGAATATCAGAAACAAGAAAAGCAAACCCATGAAGGAAAAAAACCCTCAAACAAATACACATCAGACTAGGTGTAAAAGCAAATTGTTTAGCAAATGTGCAATACCATGTTAAAAGAACCTACTCCAATACTAGAAGGCAGAGCAAACAAGAAATATGCAAAGCATGCCTTTCAAAATTTAATGAGGAAGCAGTTGAACAAAAACATCAATGAATGCACAAAACTCCATCAATGAACCAATATATAATGCAGTAATATATTATTAGCATATCTGTAAAATTATCTGTCAAGGACCTACTCCAAATATCTCAATCTAAACAAAACCGATTCAATAAATAAAATAACAATACACCACAGAACTAAAAATATGCATATGGATAGGAATTTTCAGGAGGAAAAAATTAAATGTACAGAAGCAGTAGGGATTCGAAGTTAACAGCTATATTCATAAAGAGTAGGTTAAAGGAAGTTTATATTCAAGAACTAAACATTCATGATAACTAGTTTTAACTTAGAGAAGTACTCCACATGTTCCAGTTGTTAGTTGTAGCCTGATTCTATTTCTAATGACAGCGTCAGTTATGCCTAGTTAGTTGCGGTTAGTGTCTGTTCTAATAACAAAATCAGTCAGCCTAACTCTTTTTAACAGAGTTCAGTAAGGACAGTTTTCTCCAGCTGATTATATAAATAGTAGAGCTATTTAAGAGAGTTCATTCAGTAATGAAAATATATAGATTAACAGATCCTCACAATCTCTTTCTACTCTTACGTTCCTGCAGTTTCTCTCATTTTCCCTCCCAACCACAATTATAATATGGTTCCAAAAGCTTGCTTGAATTTGACCCTAGCTAAGGCATTAGCATCCAATCCTTTTCAAAATTTGGTGATCCTCACCCTCCTACTTTGTCTGTTCAAGCATCCTTCTCAATTTCAGGAATGACACTCATTGCGAAAGACTTTCTCTTCTGAAACAGTAAGTTGAAGCCGTTATCATGGGACATTATCTTCATCACTTTGTGGTCAATGCAGAGATTTCAAACTGGTTTCTCACTGAAGATGACCAAGACACTGACAAAATCAGGTATGATTACCTTCATTTTGTGCAGTAAGGCTAGCCGCTCTTTTTCATGGCTTCTCTGCCATGTCATTATACGTCAGTTTTAGTTTATCGATGGCTAAAATTTTACACACAGTAATCACTATGTCTAACACAGCTTCCAAAAATATGCAAACCTATGTCCATAAATGCCAATTAGATTCTACTTTCCATTTATTTATACCATTTTATCAGAATGCAGCATTTAACATTTACATACCTTAACTGCTAATTCTCCAATTGCCCAGCATGCATTATTTGCTACAGAAATAGCCTCCTTTACCTTTGAAATTTCCTATACATCAAGCATGGTATATGAATAATATAATCAAAATGCAACCCAATAGCTAAAGTTAAGTCAGGCACATGTGTACCAGCTGCTTGGCTGCAGACTCAAGAAACTCAGACAAACGAGGTTGCAAATGAATTGGGCAAACCTAGCCAAATTACCATTGTTAGAATACCATCAACTTAAGATACAGTCCACAGAATAAAACCCTGCTCCCT